TTCCAATGGGTGTTCTCTGATTTCCGACTCTCCGGGCCCAATTGGGCCAGCCTTGGGCCTCTTCGGGGATCGTCGGGGGACTAATTTAGAGCCGCCTTGGCGCTATCTCGACGCCTCCAGAGCCGACCGTAAGCGAAAAGGCGAGAAGGCCAAAAACATGGTTTCCCCATGGTTTTCAATTATTTGGGCCTTCTTCGACCAGCCTTGGGCCTTGGGCCTTGGGGCTCGTCTGGGGACTCATTTGGAGTCGTCCTGGGGCTATGTTGACGCCTCCCGAGCCGATCGTCAGCGAAAAGGCGAGAAGGCCAAAATCATTGATTTCCCAATGGGCTTTTATTGACTTGCAATTCTCTGGGCCTTCTTCGGCCAGCCTTGGGCCTCTGTGGGCCTCGGCTTGCGCCTCTCTGGAGCCATCCTGGGCCTATCTTGACGCCCCCCGAGCCGATCGGAAGCGAAAAGGCGAGAAGGCCGAAAACATTGCTTTCTCCAATGGCTTTAACTTTATCTTCGAACCTCCGGGCCCTCAGGGCCACTCTGTGCCCTCTTTCGGGCTCCTCTGGGGACTCATGTGGAGCCGTCCTGGGCTTATCTTGATGCCTCCAGAGCCAATCGGAGACGACAAGGCGAAAAGACCAAAAGCATTGATTCCCCAATGGGTTTTCATTGACTTTCAATTATTTGGGCCTTCTTCGGCCAGCCTTGGGTCTCTGTGGGCCTCGGCTTGCGCATCTCTGGAGCCATCCTGGGGTCCTCTTGATGCCTCCCGAGCCATCCCGAAGCGAAAGAGCGAGAAGACCGAACACATTGCTTTTCTACTGGGTGTTCTCTGATTTCCGACTCTCCGGGTCCTGTTGGGCCAGCCTTGGGCCTCTCTGGGGCTGGCCTGGGGACTCATTTGGAGCCGTCCTGGTGCTATCTCGACGCCTCAAGAGCCGATCGTAAGCGAAAAGCCAGAAGGCCAGAAACATAGATTTTCCGATTGGTTTTCATTGATGTTCTATTTTGGGGGCCTTCTTAGGCCAGCCTTGGGCCTCCTTGGGGCTCGCCTGGGGACTCATTTGGAGCCGTCCTGAGGCTACCTCGACGCCTCCAGAGCCGATCGTAAGCGAAAAGGCGAGAAGGCCAAAAACATTGATTTTCCCATGGTTTCCATTGACTTGCAATTTTTGGGGCGTTCTTGGGCCAGCCTTGGGCCTCTGTGGGCCTCGGCTTGCGCCTCTCTGGATCCATCGTGGGGCTGTTTTGACGCCTCCCGGGCCGACTGGAAGCGACAAGGCGAGAAGGCCAAAAACATTGCTTTTCCGATGGGTTTTGTTTAATTGATTTTCGAACCTCCAGGCCCTCTAGGGCCAGCCTTGGCCCTCTTTGGGGCTCGCCTGGGGACTCATTTGGAGCCGTCCTGGGGCTATCTTGACGACTCACGAGCCGATCGTCAGCGAAATGGCGAGAAGGCCAAAAACATTGATTTCCCAATGGGTTCCCACGGGTTCTCAATCTTTTGGCCCTCTTCGGCCAGCCTTGGGCCTCTGTGGGCCTCGGCTTGCGCATCTCTGAGGCCACCCTGGGGTCCTCGTGACGCCTCTCGAGCCACCCGGAAAGGAAAAGCGAGAAAGCCGAACACATTGCTTTTCCAGTGGGTGTTCTCTGATTTCCGACCCTCCGGGCCCCGTTGACCTGTCGAGCCAGCCTTGGGCCTCCTTGGGGCTCGCCTGGGGACTCATTTGGAGCCGTCCTGGGGCTATCTTGACGCCTCAAGAGTCGATCGTAAGCGAAAGGGCGAGAAGGCCAAAAACATGGGTTCCCCAATGGGTTTCCATTGACTTGCAATTATTTGAACCTTCTTTTTACCTAACAGCGAAAACTGATAGGTTTCTAGTACGGTCAAAAGAGAGCATCATGACGCCCCAAGGGGGTCTGGGCGCGATCCGGGGGAGGGTGCCGGGGATTTTTTTTAGCAAACAGTTATACACTTCGTGGTCTTCGAGGTCCCAGAACTCCATTCCCGGGCCACATTCTGAATGCCCGGAGCCAACTGTAGGCCACTTCGTGGTCTTCGAGTTCCCAGAACTCCATTCCCGGGCCACATTTTGAATGCTGAGGCAGGCTGATGCTGAGGCTGAGGCAGGCTGAGGCTGAGGCAGGCTGAGGCTGAGGCCGAGGCTGAAGGCAGACTGAGGCTGAGGCTGAAGCAGGCTGAGGCTGAGGCTGAGGCAGGCTGAGGCTGAGGCTGAGGCAGGCTGATGCTGAGGCAGGCTGAGGCTGAGGCTGAGGCTGATGCAGGCTGAGGCTGAGGCAGGCTGAGGCTGAGGCCGAGGCTGAAGGCAGACTGAGGCTGAGGCTGAAGCAGGCTGAGGCTGAGGCTGCAGGCAGGCTGAGGCTGAGGCTGAGGCAGGCTGAGGCTGAGGCAGGCTGAGGCTGAGGCTGAGGCTGAGGCAGGCTGAGGCTGAGGCTGAGGCAGGCTGAGGCTGAGGCCTGAGGCTGAAGGCAGGCTGAGGCTGAGGCTGAGGCTGAGGCAGGCTGAGGCTGAGGCAGGCTGAGGCTGAGGCTGAGGCTGATGCAGGCTGAGGCTGAGGCAGGCTGAGGCTGAGGCCGAGGCTGAGGCAGACTGAGGCTGAGGCTGAAGCAGGCTGAGGCTGAGGCAGGCTGAGGCTGAGGCTGAGGCAGGCTGATGCTGAGGCAGGCTGAGGCTGAGGCTGAGGCTGATGCAGGCTGAGGCTGAGGCAGGCTGAGGCTGAGGCCGAGGCTGAAGGCTGAGGCTGAGGCTGAGGCTGAGGCTGAGGCTGAGGCAGGCTGAGGCTGAGGCTGAGGCTGGCTGAGGCTGAGGCTGAGGCTGAGGCTGAGGCTGAGGCTGAGGCTGAGGCTGAGGCAGGCTGAAGGCTGAGGCTGATGAGGCTGAGGCTGAGGCTGAGGCTGAGAGGCTGAGGCTGAGGCTGAGGCTGAGGCAGGCTGAGGCTGAGGCTGAGGCAGGCTGAGCTGAGGCTGAGGCAGGCTGAGGCTGAGGCAGGCTGAGGCTGAGGCCGAGGCTGAAGGCAGACTGAGGCTGAGGCTGAAGCAGGCTGAGGCTGAGGCTGAGGCAGGCTGAGGCTGAGGCTGAGGCAGGCTGATGCTGAGGCAGGCTGAGGCTGAGGCTGAGGCTGATGCAGGCTGAGGCTGAGGCAGGCTGAGGCTGAGGCCGAGGCTGGCAGACTGAGGCTGAGGCTGAAGAGGCTGAGGCTGAGGCTGAAGGCAGGCTGAGGCTGAGGCTGAGGCAGGCTGATGCTGAGGCAGGCTGAGGCTGAGGCTGAGGCTGAGGCTGAGGCTGAGGCTGAGGCTGAGGCTGAGGCTGAGGCTGAGGCTGAGGCTGAGGCTGAGGCTGCCTGAGGCTGAGGCTGAGGCAGGCTGAGGCTGAGGCTGAGGCTGAGGCTGAGGCTGCTGCAGGCTGAGGCTGAGGCAGGCTGAGGCTGAGCAGGCTGAGGCTGAGGCAGGCTGAGGCTGAGGCCGAGGCTGAAGGCAGACTGAGGCTGAGGCTGAAGCAGGCTGAGGCTGAGGCTGAGGCTGAGGCAGGCTGAGGCTGAGGCTCAGGCAGGCTGATGCTGAGGCTGAGGCTGAGGCTGAGGCTGATGCAGGCTGAGGCTGAGGCAGGCTGAGGCCGAGGCTGAAGGCAGACTGAGGCTGAGGCTGAAGCAGGCTGAGGCTGAGGCTGAGGCAGGCTGAGGCTGAGGCTGAGGCAGCTGAGGCTGAGGCAGGCTGAGGCTGAGGCCGAGGCTGAAGGCAGACTGAGGCTGAGGCTGAAGCAGGCTGAGGCTGAGGCTGAGGCAGGCTGAGGCTGAGGCTGAGGCAGGCTGATGCTGAGGCAGGCTGAGGCTGAGGCTGAGGCTGATGCAGGCTGAGGCTGAGGCAGGCTGAGGCTGAGGCCGAGGCTGAAGGCAGACTGAGGCTGAGGCTGAAGCAGGCTGAGGCTGAGGCTGAGGCAGGCTGAGGCTGAGGCTGAGGCAGGCTGATGCTGAGGCAGGCTGAGGCTGAGGCTGAGGCTGATGCAGGCTGAGGCTGAGGCAGGCTGAGGCTGAGGCCGAGGCTGAAGGCAGACTGAGGCTGAGGCTGAAGCAGGCTGAGGCTGAGGCAGGCAGGCTGAGGCTGAGGCAGGCTGAGGCTGAGGCAGGCTGAGGCTGAGGCTGAGGCTGAGGCAGGCTGAGGCTGAGGCTGCAGGCAGCTGAGGCTGAGGCTGAAGCAGGCTGAGGCTGAGGCTGAGGCAGGCTGAGGCTGAGGCTGAGACAGGCTGATGCTGAGGCAGGCTGAGGCTGAGGCTGAGGCTGATGCAGGCTGAGGCTGAGGCAGGCTGAGGCTGAGGCCGAGGCCGACGGCAGACTGAGGCTGCGGCTGAAGCAGGCTGAGGCTGAGGCTGAGGCAGGCTGAGGCTGATGCTGAGGCAGGCGGATGCTGAGGCAGGCTGAGGCTGAGAGTGAGGCTGATGCAGGGTGAGGCTGAGGCAGGCTGAGGCTGAGGCCGAGGCTGAAGGCAGGCTGAGGTTGAGGCTGAGGCAGGCTGAGGCTGAGGCTGAGGCAGGCTGAGGCTGAGGCAGGCTTAGGCTGAGGCTGAGGCAGGCTGAGGCTGAGGCTGTGACTGCGACTGCCGTTGCCACTGCGACTGCCATCGCGAATGCGACTACGACTGCGAGAACAGCAGAATTCTACAACAGGGTTCTCATCTGAATCTTAAGGGGAATGCTTCCAGACATGCTCCTACACATCGCTGTTAGGTGGCTTTGCCGGGATATGTTTTATATCACATCACACGTGCGTCCTAGCTCTCGCAAAACTAGGGGCTGCAACCGAAAAGACTGGGCACACTTGCCTCCTGGATTCTTGCTTGAGGTTCGCCGTGTGAACGCTCACCCCTCTCTGACTGTAATGAGGGTGCAGCCACTAAATGCTGAACGGACTCGCCACGAGCAGCCAAAGGCGCAGCACCCCAGGGCGAGCGCCCAGAGCAGAAAACGCGCCAAGAGATGCTCTTGGACATTTCGCACATGCCTGCTGAGGCGTCGGGTCGTGAGCGCCATTGGATGCAGCGCGCCGCCTCACGAGGAAGGGACAAGGCAACAAGGAGGTCGGATTGATTCCCAACTATCTGCAGCAACCCACACTGGCATCCGAAGGCAATTTCAGGGTGATCCTCACCTTCCCCCACGCCCCTGGTCACATCTTTGATGATGACGCGTGGCAGTAAGTTCTGGTGAAAAGAAACTGGCTCAACGCAGGATCTCCTGGCCTGGCGCCGAACAAAGACATCTGCATGGGCGTGAACCCATTCTGATGCTGTCAAGGCTGACGGTGCGCACGAGCATCCGTAGCCGCACGCATGCCCAGCCATAGTTTTGATGATGACGCGTGGCAATAGGTTATGGTGAAACGGCACTGGCGCGGGCGCAGCTCACTGGCCGTGCCCTCGCGGAGGGGCGGATCTCGGATCGGGAGCTGTAAACAATCAGAAGAAGAGCAGTTGCCAGGCAAACTGGGAGAGCACCCCGTACCCCGCGTCTCGTGCGCGAAGAAGGCAGCATCTTCGTTTCCTCAATGCGATAAACGCCCGATGCACGCGCATCTACGAAAATACGTTACGCACATGCCTGCTGAGGCGTCGGTGAAAGGGAACGTCAGGGGAAGCCTGCTCAAGGGGGGGAACATCGAGATTGAATGGACAATATATATATATTCCTCCTCAGACGACTGCGTGAGCACCAGGTTGGCCGTGGCCAACGAAACGTCGGTCGAGGTAGGGAAGAAAAATGCAAAGGCGAAGCCCCGGACGGCGCGAAGCGCGGAAACCAGGGTGGTCCCAAAGGACCGTCGACCAAAGAATTGTTGCCAGAGGCAAGAGCGTCGGCAGGCCGCAACTCTCAAAGGAGCTGGTGGGGATGCGCAAAGCGTCTAGAATTCATGGTGCTCCTCACCTTCCCCCACGCCCCTGGTCACATCTTTGATGATGACGCGTGGCAGTAGGTTCTGGTGAAAAGAAACTGGCCCAACGCAGGATCTCCTGGCCAGGCGCCGAGCAAAAGCATCTGCGTAGGATGCTGTGCAAGCTGACGGTGCGCACGAGCATCCGTAGCCGTGCGCATGCCCGGCCATATTTTTGATGATGACGCGTGGCAATAGTTTCTCGTGAAACGGCACTGGCGCGGTCATGGCCAGGCGAGAGCAACCGAAATCTTGCGGGCGCGAGCTCACTCCCATCACTACGAAGCCTGCTGCTGCATCGACAACCTGAAGTGGCCGAAATGAGCCGATTCATACGCAAATTGCTCGTAACTGCCCGACCTGTCGGGAACCAACCTATGCCCACTGCGGCCACAAAGGCGAGTAAACGGAGGATGGAACCTAGCCGATTAAACGGATGCGAAAGGCGCGAGCCGACGGAGCGCTCTAGCATCCGTAACCGTACACGCGCCCGGTCGCATCTCTGATGATGGTCCAGACGGCCTACGGTGCACGAGTTGTGCAGGGACTTGGCCGTCCCTGTTCAAAGTGCAAAGAGCATGTATGAAATGCACATACATGTTTACACAGCTGAAATTTGCACAGCTCTGGTGGTGCACAAGCCGCGCACTGGTGCGGGCGCAGTCTGTCCTGGCCTGCCGCTGAGCAGCAAAAATATGGGTAGGCGTGAAACCCGTCCCTTTGTCGCGGCGGCCGCTGCATCGCCAACCTCGAACGGCTGGTGCAGAGATTGCTCCTCCTCCCCGCTTCCGCATGAAGCGCTACGAGGCTTGCAATCCGCAAAGTGACCACAAAAAAAACGAGCGCGCGGCTTGCCCAGAGCGCCGGTGGACGCTGAGATGCGCGGCACTAAGTGTTGGCAGGTCTTGAAGCAGCGGTTGCACTTGTACTCATGAAGTGCAGTCTCAAATGCTTGCATGACCAACGGCTCCTACCTCCTAGCAGCTCCGCGCCAGGTGGTACGACCGGCCGCGCGACCTCAGAGCGGCACCGAGTGGAACGGCCCCGAGTGGTCCTGGCGGCGCAGCAATCGGCGGGGCCGGAGGCGGAACCGGCACGAGCGCCGCGCGGCGCAACTCCCTCGAGATGGCGCCCGCCAAGCTCTTGGGGCTGCCAGCCGCGCCTTCGCCCTCGGCGGCTCTTGCTGCCGGCGGCGCGGCCGCCGCTGGGCCAGCGCCTGCGGCGCCTTCTGCTGCCGGCGTCGGGGCCGCCTGGGGCCCGAGGCAGCCCTCTTCGTCGAAGCACGGGCGGCACTGCTTCACTCCCATCTCCCACGGCGAGCACGCCGGCCGCCCGGCGGCGGCGGCTTTCTGCTCCCAGTACGCCGCAGACCGGAGGCGCCTGAGCGGGGCTTCCTTCGGTACTGGCATCGCAGGCCCCCTCCGGGGACGTTGGCCTCTGAGGGGTACCGTCTCGAAGGGCACCGTCTCGAGGAGCGCCGGCTCGTCGCCATCCCTCTGCAGCGCAGTGGCGCACCAGCTCTCCTCGTGCACGTCGTCGTCCTGGTCGTCTTCGAAGGGGGGCAGCTCTGCCGTTGGGCATCGCGTGGGGGCCGAGCTGGCATAGAGGTCGGGATTCACCGCCTTCCCCTTCCCCTGCTCGGCGAGAGGCGCCTCCATTTCTTGAGACAGCGCGCGGGCAATGAACATGGCTCGTGGGGTGCTTGCTGGTAACTACACGCTGCAAACTTCAAGAACCCCCTTGAGCCCAAAACATGGGTTCCCCAATGGGTTTCCATTGACTTGCAATTATTTGAACCTTCTTTTTACCTGACAGCGAAAACTGATAGGTTTCTAGTACGGTCAAAAGAGAGAGCATCATGACGCCCCACGGGGGTCTGGGCGCGATCCGGGGGAGGGTGCCGGGGACTTTTTTTTAGCAAACAGTTCTACACTTCGTGGTCTTCGAGGTCCCAGAACTCCATTCCCGGGCCACATTCTGAATGCCTGGAACCAACTGTAGGCCACTTCGTGGTCTTCGAGTTCCCAGAACTCCATTCCCGGGCCACATTTTGAATGCTGAGGCAGGCTGATGCTGAGGCTGAGGCAGGCTGAGGCTGAGGCAGGCTGAGGCTGAGGCCGAGGCTGAAGGCAGACTGAGGCTGAGGCTGAAGCAGGCTGAGGCTGAGGCTGAGGCAGGCTGAGGCTGAGGCTGAGGCAGGCTGATGCTGAGGCAGGCTGAGGCTGAGGCTGAGGCTGATGCAGGGTGAGGCTGAGGCACGCTGAGGATGAGGCCGAGGCTGAAGGCAGACTGAGGCTGAGGCTGAAGCAGGCTAAGGCTGAGGCTGAGGCTGAAGGCAGGCTGAGGCTGAGGCTAAGGCAGGCTGATGCTGAGGCAGGCTGAGGCTGAGGCTGAGGCTGATGCAGGCTGAGGCTGAGGCAGGCTGAGGCTGAGGCCGAGGCTGAAGGCAGACTGAGGCTGGGGCTGAAGCAGGCTGAGGCTGAGGCAGAGGCAGGCTGAGGTTGAGGCTGAGGCAGGCTGATGCTGAGGCAGGCTGAGGCTGAGGGTGAGGCTGATGCAGCTGAGGCTGAGGCAGGCTGAGGCTGAGGCCGAGGCTGAAGGCAGATTGAGGCTGAGGCTGAAGCAGGCTGCGGCTGAGGCAGAGGCAGGCTGAGGCAGGCTGAGGCAGGCTGATGCTGAGGCAGGCTGAGGCTGAGGCTGAGGCTGATGCAGGCTGAGGCTGAGGCAGGCTGAGGCTGAGGCTGAGGCTGAAGGCAGACTGAGGCTGAGGCTGAGGCAGGCTGCCGGCTGAGGTGAGGCGGTGAGGCTGAGGCTGAGGCAGGCTGAGGCTGAGGCTGAGGCCGAGGCTGAAGGCAGACTGAGGCTGAGGCTGAAGCAGGCTGAGGCTGAGGCTGAGGCAGGCTGAGGCTGAGGCTGAGGCAGGCTGATGCTGAGGCAGGCTGAGGCTGAGGCTGAGGCTGATGCAGGCTGAGGCTGAGGGAGGCTGAGGCTGAGGCCGAGGCTGAAGGCAGACTGAGGCTGAGGCTGAAGCAGGCTGAGGCTGAGGCTGAGGCAGGCTGAGGCTGAGGCTGAGGCATGCTGATGCTGAGGCAGGCTGAGGCTGAGGCTGAGGCTGATGCAGGCTGAGGCTGAGGCAGGCTGAGGCTGAGGCCGAGGCTGAAGGCAGACTGATGCTGAGGCTGAAGCAGGCTGAGGCTGAGGCTGAGACAGGCTGAGGCTGAGGCAGGCTGAATGCGAGCAGGCTGAGCTGAGCTGAGGCTGATGCAGGCTGAGGCTGAGGCATGGCTGAGGCTGAGGCCGAGCCGACGGCAGACTGGAGCTGAGGCTGAACCCTCAGCAGCTGCAGCAGCAGATGCAGGCGGAGGCATGCTGAGGCTGATGCCGGGCCACATTTTGAATGCTGAGGCAGGCTGATGCTGAGGCTTAGGCGGCTGAGGCTGAGGCAGGCTGAGGACTGAGGGCGAGGCTGAAGTCAACTTGTAGGCCTGAGGCTGAAGCAGCTGAGGCAAAGGTGAGGCATCTGAGCTGAGAGCTGAGTCAAATGCGATGCTGAGGCAGGCTGAGGCTGAGGCTGAGCTGAGGCTGAGCTGAGAAGAGGCAGAGGCTGACGCTGAGCTGAGGCAACGCTGATGATGCCGAGGCAGAGGCATGCTTGAGGCTGAGGCTGAAGCAGGCTGAGGCCGAGGCTGAAGGCAGGCTGAGGCTGAGGCTGAGGCAGGCTGATGCTGAGGCAGGCTGAGGCTGAGGCTGAGGCTGAGGCTGAGGCTGATGCAGGCTGAGGCTGAGGCTGATGCAGGCTGAGGCCGAGGCCGAAGGCAGACTGAGGCTGAGGCTGAAGCAGGCTGAGGCTGAGGCTGAGGCAGGCTGAGGCTGAGGCTGAGGCAGGCTCATGCTGAGGCAGGCTGAGGCTGAGGCTGAGGCTCATGCAGGCTGAGGCTGAGGCAGGCTGAGGCTGAGGCCGAGGCTGAAGGCAGACTGAGGCTGAGGCTGAAGCAGACTGAGGCTGAGGCTGAGGCAGGCTGAGGCTGAGGCTGAGGCAGGCTGATGCTGAGGCGGGCTGAGGCTGAGGCTGAGGCTGATGCAGGCTGAGGCTGAGGCAGGCTGAGGCTGAGGCCGAGGCTGAAGGCAGACTGAGGCTGAGGCTGAAGCAGGCTGAGGCTGAGGCTGAGGCAGGCTGAGGTGAGGCAGGCTGATGCTGAGGCAGGCTGAGGCTGAGGCTGAGGCTGATGCAGGCTGAGGCTGAGGCAGGCTGAGGCTGAGGCCGAGGCTGAAGGCAGACTGAGGCTGAGGCTGAAGCAGGCTGAGGCTGAGGCTGAGGCAGGCTGAGACTGAGGCAGGCTGAGGCTGAGGCTGAGGCAGGCTGAGGCTGAGGCTGAGGCTGAGGCTGATGCAGTCTGAGGCTGAGGCAGGCTGAGGCTGAGGCCGAGGCTGAAGGCAGACTGAGGCTGAGGCTGAAGCAGGCTGAGGCTGAGGCTGAGGCAGGCTGAGGCTGAGGCAGGCTGAAGCTGAGGCAGGCTGAGGCTGAGGCAGGCTGAAGGCTGAGGCAGGCTGAGGCTGAGGCTGAAGGCAGACTGAGGCTGAGGCCGGCTGATGCTGAGCCTAGGCAGAAAGCAGCTGTGGCTGAGGCTGAGGCTGAGGCAGGCTGAGGCTGAGGCTGAGGCAGGCTGATGCTGAGGCAGGCTGAGGCTGAGGCCGAGGCTGATGCAGGCTGAGGCTGAGGCAGGCTGAGGCTGAGGCCGAGGCTGAAGGCAGACTGAGGCTGAGGCTGAAGCAGTCTGAGGCTGAGGCTGAGGCTGAGGCAGGCTGAGGCTGAGGCTGAGGCAGGCTGATGCTGAGGCAGGCTGAGGCTGAGGCTGAGGCTGATGCAGGCTGAGGCTGAGGCAGGCTGAGGCTGAGGCCGAGGCCGACGGCAGGCTGAGGCTGAGGCTGAAGCAGGCTGAGGCTGAGGCTGAGGCAGGCTGAGGCTGAGGCTGAGGCTGAGGCAGGCTGATGCAGAGGCAGGCTGAGGCTGAGGCTGAGGCTGATGCAGGCTGAGGCTGAGGCAGCCTGAGGCTGACGCCGAGGCTGAAGGCAGACTGAGGCTGAGGCTGAAGCAGGCTGAGGCTGAGGCTGAGGCAGGCTGAGGCTGAGGCTGAGGCAGGCTGATGCTGAGGCAGGCTGAGGCTGAGGCCGAGGCTGATGCAGGCTGAGGCTGAGGCAGGCTGAGGCTGAGGCCGAGGCTGAAGGCAGACTGAGGCTGAGGCTGAAGCAGTCTGAGGCTGAGGCTGAGGCTGAGGCAGGCTGAGGCTGAGGCTGAGGCAGGCTGATGCTGAGGCAGGCTGAGGCTGAGGCTGAGGCTGATGCAGGCTGAGGCTGAGGCAGGCTGAGGCTGAGGCCGAGGCCGACGGCAGGCTGAGGCTGAGGCTGAAGCAGGCTGAGGCTGAGGCTGAGGCAGGCTGAGGCTGAGGCTGAGGCTGAGGCAGGCTGATGCAGAGGCAGGCTGAGGCTGAGGCTGAGCTGATGCAGGCAGAGGCGAGGCAGGCTGAGGCTGAGGCCGAGCAGAAGGCAGACTGAGCTGAGGCTGAAGCAGACTGAGGCTGAGGCTGAGGCAGGCTGAGGCTGAGGCTGAGGCTGAGGCAGGCTAATGCTGAGGCAGGCTGAGGCTGAGGCTGAGGCTGATGCAGGCTGAGGCTGAGGCAGGCTGAGGCTGAGGCCGAGGCTGAAGGCAGACTGAGGCTCAGGCTGAAGCAGGCTGAGGCTGAGGCTGAGGCAGGCTGAGGCTGAGGCTGAGGCAGGCTGATGCTGAGGCAGGCTGAGGCTGAGGCTGAGGCTGATGCAGGCTGAGGCTGAGGCAGCCTGAGGCTGATGCCGAGGCTGAAGGCAGACCTGAGGCTGAGGCTGAAGCAGGCTGAGGCTGAGGCTGAGGCAGGCTGAGGCTGAGGCTGAGGCAGGCTGATGCTGAGGCAGGCTGAGGCTGAGACTGAGGCTCATGCAGGCTGAGGCTGGGCAGGCTGAGGCTGAGGCCGAGGCTGAAGGCAGACTGAGGCTGAGGCTGAAGCAGGCTGAGGCTGAGGCATAGGCAGGCTGAGGCTGAGGCTGAGGCAGGCTGAGGCTGAGGCAGGCTGAGGCTGAGGCTGAGGCTCATGCAGGCTGAGGCTGAGGCAGGCGGAGGCTGAGGCCGAGGCTGAAGGCAGACTGAGGCTGAGGCTGAAGCAGGCTGAGGCTGAGGCTGAGGCAGGCTGAGGCTGAGGCTGAGGCAGGCTGATGCTGATGCAGGCTGAGGCTGAGGCTGAGGCTGATGCAGGCTGAGGCTGAGGCAGGCTGAGGCTGAGGCCGAGGCCGACGGCAGACTGAGGCTGAGGCTGAAGCAGGCTGAGGCTGAGAGGCTGAGGCTGAGGCAGGCTGATGCTGAGGCAGGCTGAGGCTGAGAGTGAGGCTGATGCAGGGTGAGGCTGAGGCAGGCTGAGGCTGAGGCCGAGGCTGAAGGCAGGCTGAGGTTGAGGCTGAGGCAGGCTGAGGCTGAGGCTGAGGCAGGCTGAGGCTGAGGCAGGCTTAGGCTGAGGCTGAGGCAGGCTGAGGCTGAGGCTGTGACTGCGACTGCCGTTGCCACTGCGACTGCCATCGCGAATGCGACTACGACTGCGAGAACAGCAGAATTCTACAACAGGATTATCATCTGAATCTTAAGGGGAATGCTTCCAAATATGCTCCTACACATCGCTGTTAGGTTGCTTTGCCGGGATATTGTTTTATATCACATCACACG